GAAACTGGGAGGGAGGTGAAGGTTAGGCTTAAACAGAATGGAACTGCTTTCAGTGAAAATACATTCATCAAGAAATCCCAATAAGTGAGAAGGTAGACTCTAAAAATAAGCTAGTAAACTTAATAAAAAATGGAAAAATTATATTTCAAATTTAAAATGTTATATTAATGTTAACATGTTAGCATTAGCATATGTATAATTTCATAACAAACAGAACAAAATCTGAAGTGCAGACTCGAACTTGTCGATGCAGAATATAAAGCAAATATAAATGTAATCGTACATGCTTTGTTCTTCAAATGTGATTCAGTAATTAAATATGTACCTAAATATGTTATTACTTAGTGACGTTTGAATAATACAGCAACAGTAATAATACTTGTCTTCTGAGGGATACCATTCACATAGAGTTCTTCTTGGTTCCAAAACATTCTCTAATCAATCCAATTAAGTGCTACTTTTATATCAAAATTCCTTTTTCTGACATCTCTTGGTCAAAGATAGAAGAAGATGAGTGAAAAGCCAGGGAGATTAGTACGCCTACATCAATGGGGAACCGTCATGGCCTCTTCACCCTCAAAAAGGGCCTAAGACATTCTAAAAATAATATTTTAAAATTGAGCAGTTCTAATTTTATCTGATAATATTTTGATAATTACCATCTAAACAAATACAAAACTAAGCAAATAAAGAAGTCCCTTTGTCTTCCTATCAGAATTTCTCCACCTCTGCTATTGGAAAGAATGTTGGTGATTGGTGGTCTAGCTATAAATTTAGAAAGGGCCAAGCAACAGTAATTCAGTGAGTGACCAATTTCAAATGACAGTAAAATTGACTCTCTGTGCTATTTGCTCATTGCATTTCTAAGGCTAAACTATCGTCTTAATTTTTCGTTTCTTATCTTTTGCAGTACTTTAGGAGGGGACACAGTAAACTAGGCTGGGCTTTATTTAGACGTGGGAAGGGGTTGTCAGAGGGCCGTGGTTTAAGAGTCACGGTTCACTACTAGCCTACATATTGCTCTAGATATTTGTTTATTTTTTGGTTTATAATGTAAGACTTTAAACATGTAGTTAAATATCACATCCCCAGCATTTAGAATTCCCTAACGTTGTTCTTTACTCCGTACACACATTTGATGGGTCATTACTAAGTTGGCGTAGTTCTTCAGGAAAGAAAGATAGAGGGGCAAAACGTTTGTGTTCAGAACCGAATGACCCTAAAAGAACACTTTCAGAATGCTTATCTACCAATGGAATAATCACTTTCAGGTTTAGTGGCAAAATCCATTGCTCTCTGTGCATTTCCCATAAACGATGAGAGCACCATTTGCCAGAGATTTGAAACCATGCTGCTCTCTGGCTGTGACTGGCAGCAGTCCAAGAGACGCTGTAAATTTGTCTCTCTCCCCGGAGCTTGTGGGAAGCCAGTTTTTTTCCACTTTGCCGACCAGCACTGTGATAAACCAACGGGCTTGAGTAGGCTCATAAACGTCTGCCATGAAGTACTGATGGTGATGAACCAGACTGCAGCATTACAGCAATGACACCCTGTAGGCCTTTCCCAAAAACATACTCACATCTTCCAAGCATTTATACCATAGATTCTTTGGTTTTGCTGCACGATGTGTTGTTGATTCACTAATGCATTTTAATATATTGCAAGATGTACTGCAATCACAATATTTAGCAATGCAATCGCAAGTCATTGGTCCATATAATGCAACTCTTTTTTTGGCCTTGCAACAGCTGGAAAATGGCACAGCTGGAAGGCTGATGTGGCAGATTTAGACGGGAGCAGTTCTGCAAAGATGTCACACATTCTGAAAGGGGCCTTATCCTGTATTTCTTTTGTGTTTTTCCCCTGAGGTCCCCTGGATTTATTTACCAAAAACAGCCATAATTCATTTTTACTGCACCCTTTTCCAACCTCTCTTTATCCCTAAAGATTAAATGGGCTGTGCCTGGCATACAGTTGTGTTGCAAAATACAGTCATATGCAAAAGAATAACCCTGGTCAAATTACATGTTTCATTGGTTTTCTAATTGAAAATAAATTAACACATCCTTTACAGCAAGCAGATTGGCTGCTCTATATTGTGCCTCATTCAAGAAGCTGTCCAGGTTGAAACACTCCTTATAACTTCAATATGAATGGGTGGGGCTAAACTGCTGTAGGCTGAATAGGTGGCTATATAGTCCCCTTGGAATTATAAGGTTCTGTCTGACATTTTTGTCAAAATTGAGTTTTCACATATTATTATTCTGTATCAACTTCTTAACATTATGTGAGGTGTTTTTAAGTCGTGTGCATTTTTGGACTCATTATCTAGAAAACAAGAAGGTTCTATCTCCAAAGTCAAGCTCTAACATAGTTCTATAAGGTTCTATCTGCGAGCCAATCAGCACTTCTCATACATACAAGAAGACCAGTCAAGTTCTGCTTCTTTGTCATGTCGCTGCACTTTTCAGTGACTGTGGAAAAAGTTTATAAAACTTTGTGAAACATGAAAACATGTTACTGAAACTCTTCATAAAGTTCTTTAAATGTCTTATTGTCTGAAACTGTATAGAAAATTAAGCCTTAAAGGATGATTGAGAATTGATGGGCTCTTAATTACAACATAAACATTAATTTCATTCATTCATCCAACTTTTTTTCGTATTTCTCCCAAAAGAAGACATTTTGGTGCACCACAGTCAACATTTGTGATATAAAACAAAACCTCACACTGCCTTTAGACTGACCTGCTACACGTACTTGCTGGGACAGTTTATTACAGTAGCTGTTGCTGTCTAACCTAAAGGAATGGTTTCTACCTAAAACTGACCTCTGCACTGGGCAAAATATTTAGCACTGACCTGCAATGCTTTTTTTTTAATAAGAAAAAGATGATTTGTCCTAAAATGAGAAATAAATGTCATAAAAAATAAACAATGTAAATAAGTGTCATCAAAATGTCATAGAAAGTGATCCATTTATGAACTTTAACAATATTACACACCACATCAAATTTTCCAAAAAAGTGAGAAAATATGAGCCCATTAATGGGCATTATTTTATTTCCAGTGCTTTAATATTTCCTCAGCGCCATAATTATTTTTTATTGCCCTCATCACCACCTGCATGACCCAAGGATGTTTAATCAACTAATAATGACACGTTTAGAACAAAAAAGGGGTTTTCTTACAGTTGTTATACCTTATCTCCACAAATGATTACACACAACAGAGAAACACTAACATGTGAAGTGTAACTAAATGACTGTTTCTGCATTATGTGCTCTACAAAGGCTACGCTGCCTGTGTTGATATTCACTTCAGTTTGCTATATAATTAAAGTGTCTTCAGGCAAAACACTAGGACAGTTTAAACTTGCTTAGAGAAGTCTATTATGCTACATTTTCATGCAGGAGAGAGCGCCTTTGCCAACATAATTGCCTTGGAACTATACTGGGAAATGTTTAATCTACCTACTCAAACACAGGTGTTCACTCCAGCTACCAGTTTAATTAAAATGGATCTTAAGGCTAAAATGCCAATATAGATGAAGAACCTGGTATCACACTTTTTCTTCACTGCGTGCATCTTCATCTGTGTGTTTTCTCACAAATCTCTTGTGAGAGCACTGTGCATCCATTCCTGTGTTATATTAATACATTAGCCATTATGTAGGTATATCAGCACATTAAATGAGTAAATCAGGCATTATATGAGTACTTTAGCACATTATATGAGTATGTCAGGCGTTGTATGCATATATCAGCATCTTATATGAGTATATCAGGCATTATATGAGTGTTTAGCACATTATATGAGTATATCAGCACATTACATGAGTAAATCAGCATCTTATATAACAGATTATATCAACAGTATAACAGATTAATCAATGCATCAAATTACAATTTCAGGTATTGTCAATGCATTATATGAGGATATCAGCTATTATCAATGCATTAAATGACTACATCAGGTATAATCCATGCATTATATGCGTATATCAGTTATTATCGGTGTATTAACTGACTACATCAGGTATGATCAATGCTTTATATGAAAATATCAAACATGATAAGTGCATTATATGAGGATATCAGATATTATCCATGCATTATATGAGTATATTGGGTATTATCAGTGCATTGTATGAGGACATCAAATATTATCAATGCATTACATGAGGATATCAGATATTATCCATGCATTATATGAGTATACTGGGTATTATCAATGCAGTATATGAGGATATCAGATATTATCCATGCATTATATGAGTATATTGGGTATTATCAATGCAGTATATGAGGATATCAGATATTATCCATGTATTATATAAGGAAATCAAATATTACCAATGCATTGTGTTGGGATTTCAGGTATTATTAGTGCAAATGACTACATCAGGTATAATCCATGCATTATATGCATATATCAGTTATTATCAGTGTATTAAATGACTACATCAGGTATGATCAATGCTTTATATGAAAATATCAAACATGATAAGCGCATTATATGAGGATATCAGATATTATCCATGCATTATATGAGTATATTGGGTATTATCAGTGCATTGTATGAGGACATCAAATATTATCAATGCATTATATGAGGATATCAGATATTATCCATGCATTATATGAGTATACTGGGTATTATCAATGCAGTATATGAGGATATCAGATATTATCCATGCATTATATGAGTATACTGGGTATTATCAATGCATTATATGAGGATAACAGATATTATCCATGCATTATATGAGGAAATCAAATATTATCAATGCATTGTATTAGGATTTTAGTGCATTATATGAGTATACCGGGTATTATCAATGCATTATTTGTGGATATCAGGCTTTATCAATGCATTATATAAGTCTATCAGGTATTTTTTTTGATGGCCAGTGTATGAACTAATGTGTATGAACTAACGAATGAATGAATTTAGGTGGCAGACACTAATGCTACCCCATGTACTTCTGTTTTCTTGCAGATGTTGATGACTGCCTGTCTAACCCGTGTGAGAACGGTGGCACCTGCATTGATAAAGTGGACTCTTTCATCTGCCTGTGCCTGCCCAGCTACAGCGGAGACATGTGTGAGAAAGGTAATGGATTCTAACACAGGGGGATTACTGCAGCAGCGGAATTCATTTTCAACAGAGGAGGAGACAAATCTCAGTGCACAGTGTCAGCTGGTTTTGCATAATGTGCCTTTTGCCTTGTTAGAATTCCAGACACTACCAACAGAGCATCAGGGAGATGTCTAATGTACACAAATACACAGATAGCCTAAACACTTGCTGCAAGCTGGGCTCTCTCCCAGGACATCTCTGTTAATGTTATCTGTGTTGTTCTTCTACGTTAAGGCCAACTACTCAGTTGCAGTGCTTCTCTAATACAAAACCCAATTCCAAAAAAGTTGGGACAGTGTGAAAAATGGTAATAAAAACTGAAAACAGTGCAAACACAATATGTTTTGTATTTCAACTAATTAACTTTATCGTTTTATGTATATTCTAAAATTGGTGCCTGCAGCATGTTCAAAAAAAAGGTTGGGATGGGGCGATGGTTACTGCTGTGTTACATCAACTTTTCTCTTAAAAGTGTTTAGTAATCCTTTGGGAACAGAGGACACCAATTGTTGTAGTTGTGGAAGTAGATTTTTATCCATTCTTGCTTGACATAGCACTTCAGCTGCTTAACAGTCCAGGGTCTCCATTGTTGTATATTGCACTTAATAAAGCACCATACATTTTCAATTGGAGACAGGTTTGGACTGAGGACAGGCAAATCAAGCACCTGCACTCTCTTAACACTAAGCCACACTGGTGGCCACACAGCTTATAGATTCGCAAATAGTACAATGCATTTGTACCCCTCAGCATTTATGGTGCCTTCACAGATATGCAAGTTACCCATGCCATTGGCACTAACAAGCCACCATACAATGAAAGACACTGGCTTTGAACTTTGCATTGGTAACAATTGGGATGGTCCCAATCCATTAGAATCTTGCAAACTTAATGGCTAAATTATCACATTCTTGCTTCAAACTAAGTTGTTAAATAAGCTCAATAAATATAGACAAAAGTATGTTGCATAGCTAAAACAGTAGTAGCAGCCATCCTAGAACTTTCTGTCCTTGTTGGCTACATTAGCCTCATAGCTACAGCCAAGATACTAAACGTGTCTTGGCTGATCTGGATTAAGGGGCAAATTGTGTAAGTTTGAGTTCTTCCTTTAACATCAGTGTGGTTTTGTTTAGGTTGCTCATATTTTGCTTGACGTTAGTGCTGCATATTCACTCCTGTTGATTTCTTGTTTATGTGCACTGTAATCCATGCTCCGTCCACAAATGCACTCTTTTCTAGCTACTGTTGAGGTTTACAGCACATTGGCAAAAATCCTGTTTGACCTCCTGATTTTTGCCAGTGAATTAAACTCATTATAGCTGCATTCTATTCTAACTTTATTTGCATCATGAACTCAGTATTAATTTTAAACGCTCTGCAGGGTCATATCTGTTACACGGCTGCCTGACTCTGCGGTCTGCGTGACATTCATCTCCACTCCCCACGGCCCACGCTGCCATTAATCTCAACAGCTTTACACTTCTGCCACAATCCAGCCTGTCCTCCTCCGAGTCCACACACACACTCGCACACAAATATGGACACACACACTAATGATGATTTATGAATTCTAATAATGCAGCTACTGCAACACAGGGGCAAAGCACATGAAGATGATGTAAAGGAGATACTGAGGACATATGAGTCAGTGAGAGCGGTCTTTGGTGATTTGAGGTCCAGATACAAGGACAGCGTCTTATAATATTCAGTTTTACGAGCTTAATAAACTCTTATTATAGTGATAAAGAAAGTTATATGGTCACAGCGCGGGGTATCTGTAGGCCTAAGCTAGGCCGGAGGTGTAGCGCTAGTCAAAAGTGTGGACACTTGTTTTTTCATAGGTTTCCAAGGTCTCGGCATACAATGCCAATATTTGCCCTGATTTACTGTATTTTTCCGAATTTCTCACACTAAATGATTTCAGATCTCTAAAATGTAATTTAAGACAAAGACAGCATGAGGAAAAAAAAAAAAGTTTTGCAATACCTGTATCAACTGTGTGAAAAAGTATTTGCCCCCCCCCAAATGTAATGACTGCCACCTTTAACAGCAATAACTGCAACCAAACCCTTCCAATAACTATAATACACAAAAATAAAAGAAATCAGGACTCACATCCTTTTTCACAGTACTTTCTATTGATCTTCTTCAGCCCAGTTGGAGAAGCATTTCAGTTGGCTACTCATGAGAAGGCCAAGAATGTACAAAACTGCATCAAAGCAAAACACTTTGAAGATTCTAAAACAGAAGATTAAAGCTAAAACTTTCATTCTTTATGTGTTGTTTAACTTTTTTTTATTTCTTCACTGTTATTCTAAAACTGGTGCTGTGTGAATGGAAGTACAGCATGGAAATATTAGTGGCCATGTTCTTTGGCTACATTCAGTAAGCAAAAATGGCCCAGATCTGATTTACTGCTCAAATCTGATTATGTTGTTTGGTCGTTCAAATTACATTTTTAATGCGGCCTATATCAGTCTGAAGAGATCGTGCTCCTGAACTGACTCGCATGCGCAAAACAACACTGATCCACCAGGCACACTCATCCAACAAATACAGCCATCCTCTATATTTCCTTCAGATTAGTGCACTCATTTCATGCAATATGAAAATGAGCTATGTGAACTGCTCCATTAAACTTGTTGGATGAACAGTAGACTGTTCCTGCTCTTGTTTTTGTTGTGGAAGCTGATCAGAAAAAGGATGCACAGTCTCTTTTGTTTACCTGCCATGAAGAAAAATGCTACCAAAGGGACACAAACTCAGTGCCAAATGTGAATATGCACTGGACAGAGACACTTGACCTCTGTGAAGCTCCGTTGTCTATTTTGCTTCTACCCTTTTTCAGACTATCTCTAGACTCATCTATCAGACTGGCAGAGAGAGAAGCATGATTCGTCGCTCCACAGAATACTAATACTATCCTAACACGCAGTTCTTTTGCTGATGTTGCTATTTCACAAACGGACTTGTGTCAAAAGTGGCATCCTATGACAGTGCCATGTTTAAAGTCACTGAGCTCATCGGTACCTCTCAGTACCTATTCATATATACATATCAAAAATTAGGAGGGGTGTCCCAATACTTTTGTCCATATATATATATTGCATATTTCATATCATATATGTATATAATTAAGTGTATATATATATATATATATATATATATATATATATATATATGTATATATATATACTTTAGATAAAATAAAAGTACAAAATATGTTTTATGTGATACATAAAAACCACATAAGTGTCATAAGTGGAACTAAATGGAAAAAAAAACAAAATGTAAGAAAAATGTAGGATATTTCATATTTTTATGACAATGTCCCCTGAGCTAATGGAGACAAAATCACTTATGTGCTGGTGAGCTGGGAGCTGACGTGAATTAGCATTGTGAAGCTCCTGAAATGCGCTGAGGATTGGAGAGGGTAAATTATGCATTTGAACTCCATTTGAATTCCCAATGTGTCTCTGAAGGCGTCATACTGATGGAGTCTTAATTAGCACCCTGCACACTTCTAATAGCAGCTCCCTCATTGCACTCATCTGGTGTGAACCAAAGACCAGCTGCCGGGGTTACAGTTTGACAGCATTCGTATAAACTCCCCCACCCACCACCAGCAGCACACGCACACAAATTTCACTCATATAAACATTTCATCACACTGTGAGCTCCCCTAGGGTAGAAATTGAATACAGGAGGTTAGCAAAGTAAGCTGAACATGGCAAAACAACATTTTTGTCAATGCAAATCCCGTTAGTCTAGTTGCACAACTGATCAATGTCAGCACATTTATGACTGGATTTATTGCTTGAAAGTGGAACACATTTTAAAATGTTCAGTAATCTGTCTCTGAGAGCAGATTCTGTTGCGGAGGTTGATAATGTAGTCTGTACCATTCTGTACTACTATTAGAATTGGATTAGTTTGTTAAATCATGAGAGAGAAGAATAAGTAAAAGAATACACAGAACGGCCACTTCATTAAGTACACCTCCTTATATCTGCACTCACTGTCCTTCTATCAGCTCCACTTACCATATAGGAGCACTTTGTAGTTCTACATTTACAGACTGTAGTCCAACTGTTTCTCTGTAACTTTGTTAACCACCTCCCTGTCCTTCAATGGCCAGGACCCCCACAGGACCACCATGGAGCACGTATTATTTGTGTGGTAGATCATTTTCCAGCACTGCAATGACACTGATGTTGTGGTGTGTTAGTGCATGTTGCGCTGGTGGATGAGACACATCAGTGCTGCTGGAGGTTTTAAACACTGTGTCCACTCACTGTCCACTCTATTAGACATCCATCTTGTAGATGGAAATTCAGAGACAGTAGCTCATCTGTTGCTGCAGTTTGTGTTGGTCCTTCATCAGTGGTCACAGGACAGTGTTGGCTGGATATTTTTGGTTGGTGGACTATTTTCAGTCCAGCAGTGACACTGAGGTGTTTAAAAACTCCAGCAGTACTGCTGTGTCTGATCCACTCATACCAGCACAACACACACTAACACACCACCACCATATCAGTGTCACTGCAGTGCTGAGAATGATCCACCCCCCAAATAATACCTGCTCTGAGGTGGTCCTGGGGGGGCCAGACAGGTGAAATGGAGCTAATAAAGTATGCAGAGAAACAGATGGACTACAGTCTGTAATTGTAGAACTACAAAGTGCACATATATGGTAAGTGGAGCTGATAAAATGGACAAAGAGTGCATATGCAAGGTAGGTGTTCTTAATGAAGTAGTTGTTGCTGTCCAAAGAAAAAATGTACCTCTACATCACTTTTTTCCAATTTTTTAGTGTCTTTCTGTCTTTTTGTTTCTCTGCCTCACTGTTTCACACTGTTTTCTCTGTCTCTCTCTCCAGACACTGAGGGCTGTGAGCATGGCTGGAAGAAGTTTCACGGTCACTGCTACAGGCTCTTCCCCCGCCGGCACACCTGGGAGGACGCCGAGAAGGACTGCAGAGAGCACAGCGGTCACCTGACCAGCGTCACCTCTACCATGGAGCAGGACTTTCTCAACGGTGACTCACACAGCTCACTCTGCTGTTTCTTCGCAGTGGGTTTAAAGGAATACTCCAGCATTTTTTAGCCTAATCTCGATCTGCTGCATCTGCGTCATACCATCAATTACAAAAAAAGAAAACCTGTTGACTCCAAACTGAGTTACCCCTCTAAATATTTACATGACTTTTGTGAATTCTTCATTCAAACATACTATGTAAATTAAGCCGTAATTCTGTGCAGTTAGCGAGAATATGCTACCAGCATTGTGGTGTGGGTGAAGTTTTCACTCCTGGCTGTGCATGGATACTAGAAAACTTAAGGGAAAACTGATGTAACCAGAACTGCTGTTTACTGTTTGTTGCTGTAGTGTATTAATTATTATTTGTTAAACACAGCTTTCATAAAACATTTCCTCATGTTGGAAAGTTTCATTTCAAATTCACATTAAATAGTGACATATTTCAAACATCAGTAACACTTTACAATAAGAGCACATCAATTAACAGTACTAAAGAGAGTAATATGCATTACTAAACGGTTAAGTCATGTCAGAACTAATCATTAACTAATGATAGAAATAGGAATTAACGTTATTTAAGATTTTATTAAGTAGTTTATAATCATTACTAAATTATTAGTAATAATAATTACTCTCTTAAGTACTGTTAATTGATATTCTCTTATTACAAAGTGTTACCCAAACATTTTTTCACAGAATTCTGTGAAACTCACTTATAACTGAAGTTTGAGTTTTGAGTCAACAGTTCTTTTCTAAGTACAGAGAAAAGGGTCAAAATTATTGTCCATGGTAATTAACAGTCTAATACTAATACCACAGATTGAGATTAGGTTGAAAGACTCTGGAGTATTCCACTAATATTTGGGTTTGCGAACAAAAATCTCCCCACTAAAGCAGTGATTTGTAAATTTACTTTGACCTTTATTGAAATGAAAACAGTATAAAGACAAGACTTTTAATGTTTTACCTTTTAAACTTCATTTTTTTAATAAATATATGCTCATTCCTAAACTGAGGCCTTCAAGACATTCCAAAAAAGGTCACGGGGCAATATATGACTGGAAATGTTATGAAATGTTCCAAAAAAAAATCTAGAACAGCCGATGCAGTTGTGCTTGGATGTAAAAAGATCATTCAGGAAAGGTTGAGTTCCTTACGAACAAGGAGGGAGTCGAGGCTTGACACTTTGCCAGAAATACATCAACAGTTTAAGTACAGTGTTCCTCAATGAGCATTTGCAATGATTACCCTCTATGGTCAAAAGATTCAGAGAGATCTCTGTGCATGAAAGAGCAAGGCCAGAAAACCCAATTAAATGTCTGTGATCTTCGACGCCTCAGACGACACTGCGTTAAAAGTCAACATGCTTCTGTAATGAATATAACCACATGATCTTGGAAATGTGTCGAAAAAAAACCCTTGTCATTAAACACAGTTCATCGCTGCACCTACTAATGCAAGTTAAGACTGGGCTATGCAAAGCGGGAGCCGTATATAAACAACATCTAGAAACACCGCTGACTTCTTTGAGCTAAAGCCCAATCTGAAATGGACTGACACAAAATAGAAACGTGTGCTGTGGTCTGACAAGTCCACATTTCAAATTGTTTTTGGAAAAATGGACATTGTGTTCTCCAGGCCAAAGAAGAAAAGGACCATCCTGATTGTTACCAGTGTAAAGTCCAAAAGTCAGCATCTGTTATTGTATGGGGGTGTGTTAGTGGCTAACTTGCACATCTGAGAATGGGAAAAATGTCACTTACACAACTACATCAATTGGTGTCATCAGCTCTCAATGATTACTGAATGTTGGTGAAAGGAAAGATGAGGTAACACAGTGGTAAACATGCCCCTGTCCCAACTTTTTGGAACAAGTTGCAGGCATCAAATTTAGAATAAGTGCATGTATACAAAAAACAATAATGTTCATTAGTTGAAACATCAAATATCCTGCTTTTCGTATTGTTTTCAATTAAACACAGGTCAAAAATGATTTACAGATCACTGCTTTCTGCTTTTATTTGCATTATACCTACTGTCCCAACTTTATTAGAATTGGGTTTGTGACAAACGTTATGTAACCTTTAGAATTATCATACTTTCAGTTACAGACTGTTGGTTTGGTCAGCATTTTCAGCAGAGAGTCATATGGCTTGATGCCGTGGCTGTGCGTCATATGAAGCTATGTGCTACACTGAAACATTACCCTCCATCTGTCAGGTCTGGGCCATGAGAACGTGTGGATCGGGCTGAATGACAGAACAGTGGAGGAAGACTTCCAGTGGACAGACAACATGGACCTGGTGAGCGCTGGCCAAAAGATCTAACATGCATACTTGGAACCGCACTGATCCGAAACCTTCCTGATTTACGTCAAAGGCCGCTAATGTAGTGTCATCAGTGACAGGGAAGGGGGTCATTCTGACCAGTCACGGTTTGACTCTCCTGAGCAACTGACCTGTCCATTCTGTGCCCACAAATGTACTCTTTTGAAGCTGTTGTTGTGAGGTTGGACAAGGTTTACAGAAATTGTAGCTCACGACGATCTATAAATACTTATATGTAGAGAGTGCTGTTAATTTCAGATGCGCTGTTAATTACTGCCAGGATGTCACAATATTTAACACTCAGTTTTCACCTGTATTTATTATTTTATTGCAAAAACAACTTGTAAGAAAACAGCAAATGACATTTACAAATGCACACTTCAGAGATTTTGTGCATGCATACACACCCATTGATAAGTCTGGTAAAATGAAAAAGTAATTTTTTCATATGTAAATTTACAGTATATTACTGGCTACTGAATTACATTACTTTCACGGTTGTGATGTAACGTTCGACTGCACTAAGAATTTGGGGTGAACTTTGGTGTCCTCAAGTTGAGCAGTGTAATCAATTAGCTTATAATGTGAAGTTGAGCTGACTTTCATGTTTAACAGTATAACAGCTGAAGCCAGCAAATGTTCTGCTCAGCCTACCAATCAGATGTTTAAATGTCCACTGTAAAAAGACAATGTAAAATGACTCGCTACAAATTGCATTAATTAACAATACTTTACAGCACCATTTTAACTGTGAATTACCAACTATAAAACTGTAAATTAGCAATGATATACTTTGACTTACTTGCACCACATTACACTGTGATGCAGCTGTTATCTCCTGTATTTTTTCATAACAACTACAAAATATTGTTAATAAAATATCTGCATTTTATGAATGTTACTGTCTTTGTAACACTTTACAAATTACTATATACAGGCAGATACAGTCATATGCACATTTTAGGCACCCCTTGCCAAATTACACATTTTGTTGATTTTCTAAGTGAAAACAATCTACAGAGAACACACTTCAGCACATTTTAATGCACAATTACTGTTTATTTGCTGAATTTAACATATTGAAAAACAAAATAAAATATGCAAAAGTTATGGCACATTATATATTTAATGTTTTGTTTTTTTCAACATGCTAAACACCAAAAAATAGAAACTGTGCACTGAAATTTGCAGAAAAAAGCCATATTTAACTGGGTTCTCTGTAGAGGATGTGTTAACTTATTTTATCTTATTTTTGCTTAGAAAATCAACAAAACATGTAATTGACTAGGATATTAAATTTTTACGTACAGATATATGTACATGAGGAATATCAGATATTAGCATCAGCTCACTATTTTCATATTGGTACTTCCCTGTTTAGCTATACAACAAAAATGTACACACACTTAAAAATCATTTGAAAGAATAACACTTTTAATTGAGGTCTTTTGGCAAAAACTAGTAAAACAGTTTCTGGGAAATGGAGTCTTTACCAAATTTGCAAGAGTTGTTATGAAAGATTGCAGTTGTGGGCAGTGCATGGACAGGTCAATTAGAATCAAGTCTCTCCTGACTCACTTTGAACAGTCATGGTCTGATCTTAGTAGAATTACCCTGTCTGTCCAGAGTGGGATCTCTCCTCAGTTACTCTGTCCAGCCTGAGTACAAGTTTCTCTCTGCTGCTACAGGTGTACGAGAACTGGCGGGAGAACCAGCCAGACAACTTCTTTGCGGGCGGAGAGGACTGCGTGGTGATGATCTCTCGAGAGGACGGCAAGTGGAACGACGTACCCTGTAACTACAACCTGCCCTACATCTGCAAGAAGGGCACAGGTGAGGATGAGGAACTCCACTCAAAGCCCAACTCCTGCAAGCAGCACTGACCAATACCGTCTAATGATGCTGAACTAGTTTCCTCTTAAAAGTTCCACAAAGTTCCTCCAGGTGGAAGAGTGCTTATTTGGAACAGATATGTCTTTGTGATATATTCAGGCTAGACCTTCACTGTTTTCTTCATTAGCACCTTGACTTTCTGTATCTACTGATTTTGACACCATTTGCCTGGAACTTAAGACTTTTTTGCACTTTACATGGCCTTGACATAACAGTGTCTCCATGGCAAGCACACATACTTCCCTCTGAATGGTCTCTGATTTCAGCTGTAAGTGGTTATTGATCGTGTTTTGCCCATCTCATTCAACTGCACACTTAATCAACTCCATGAAGATCTCAATTTCATGATGACTGTCAATCAATGGCAGCTGCAGTCCAAACAACATTAAGTGAGTGCTCACTGCCATCTTTTGAGATTTCTCAGCCATGGTTCGAATTATAAGAGCACACAGTGTTTTTTATTTTTCTGTGCTCGCTGACTGAAGGTAGATTGGCAATAGTTTTCAGGAAAAGTTAACCAATTCTGTTTCTACATTATAAAGCTCAATTCCCAAACCTCTCCACAGTACAGCTTGAAATATATGAACCCGACCGAATCTGACATGAATTGTCGTACGTAATTTCTCAAACATGTGTTGGGCTCAAGTGGAGTCCATATTTCATGATCAACGTTTTCATAGCTTGTTCCCTGCCTATAATGGATTTTAGGCTGCATTTAACCCCCAATTTAGTTTCTCTCTCTCCTTTTATTACATTTAACTTTTACATGCTACAGTCTTTACAGTCTTTTACATGCTAGCGTTGCTCATGTTGTTGGTGGCAAGGTCTGTAATGCCAATATAAGAGCAATGCATTATATCTATGTATAAAAAGACAAAATGCATTCTTATTGAAAAATCTACTGTGTTGTTCCCTGTGTGACCCTTGATGACCCCTTGATGTTAACTAGAACTTTGGGAGCTCTTTCATAGGTTCTCTTAAAGTATCATATTGAGGTATGATGTGTCATACCAAGAGCTAAACACCAGGACCCTGAGAACAGAAGACCCTTGGGTGGCCCATGGTGTCTGAGCCCCTCTAAGATCTTAATAGGACTCCCTTCTATTGGACATCACTACTTGTGCTATTTTACTCCCATAACTCAGGTGTAAATATAATAAAAAGTGCTCACACTATCATGGTAAAAGAGGTTTTTGTGGGCATCATTCATTTTTTATGGAGCTGCTTGCTGTTTGCATGGAATGGCAAATGTATGACATCAGACTGCGCTAACCTTCGAACATGGAGCTGATGATGTTAGTCAGTATTTCAGGTTTTCTTGAACAGAAAGAATCAGTTAATGTGGATTTGGGGCGTTTGTTTAAATTCCTATCCTGTTTTTGAACAGTCCTTTTTTTGTAGCGGGAATCAGGTGTAGGTTGACTTCACTGCCCAGACTGTTCCCACAAATTTGGAAGCATACAATTGTCCAAAATGTCTTGGTATGCTGAAGCATTAAGATTTCCCTGGAACTAAGGGGCCTGGGCCAACCCCATAGCATTATCCCTCCACAACCAAACATTACAGTTAACACAGTGCAGTCAGGCAGGTAATGTTCTCCTAGCATTCACCAAACCCAGACTCGTCCATCAGACTGCCGGATAGAGAAGAGTGATCCGTCACTGCACAGAATACATTTCACTGCTCCAGCGTCCAGTGGCGGCATTTTACACCATTTCATTCAACGCTTGGAATTGTGCTTCGTGATGTAAGGCTTGCATGAAGCTGCTCAGCCATAAAACCCATGCCATGAAGCTCCCACCACACAGTTTTTGTGCTGATGTTGATGCCAGAGGAGGTTTGGAACTCTGCAGTTACTGAGTCAACAGAGTGTTGGTGACTTTTATACACTATATGCCTCAGAACTCAGCAACGCCACTTTGTAAATTTACAGTTGTAGGTTCACAACTGTAGTTGTAAGTTCACTTCTCTGTCCAGTCTTGTAGCGCCTCCTGGTGGGAAACTCGTTTTTCTGATAATACTGATACCACTAGAAAGCAGCATTGTTTGTCATTGTTTTCAGCTGTAATTTTTTTTTATTGATAGTCTGATGATGGCTTTCAGTGCCTCTACATAGTGGCCTTTCCCCTTTAAACAGTAACCTGCTTAGAAGGAGATCTTTAAGTTGGACTATCCATTTATTGTCTTCAATACTGTTGATGGAATAAAATTCGATAGCATATGGTATATTCTAAAAAAGCAGAACCAAACTGCTTTTTCATTTTTATAAGTAAGCAATTTTATCACCCCTCCCCTTCCACCCCCCATTGCTCACTAGCAGCTAAACACAGAGTCACAACATTTCATACACAGAGAGCCAACAGTGTCCTAGTTTATCTGGTAACAGAATTATGGAGGAAAATATTGTATTTGATTATATTAATTACAGATATCTAGATTGATTTCCATTTTGCAGGTGGAATGGCCACTAGGGGGCCTGCAGAAAGAAGCTACAAGTTGCTACCATTATGAATGCTAGGTTTGTTTGGTCTCAGGTAGCTGGAGAACAAGTCTGGACAGATTTTTAAAGGGCTGTATTCAGGTTTGAACCCAAAATTTCAGGCCCAATTAAAGCTCTAGTCCACAGACACTGCCATCCTGTTCAAAGCCATGCCATTGAAACAGTGGCTCAGACCCCTGTAGTGCACACAGCTTCTCTGTCCACTAGCATGGCTAACGGATATACACACTTTCAGTTCCTCCCTTATTGAGGCTCCAGCACAAGGAAGCCTCAGTCTTAACCTCGTCTCTAAAGGAGCATTCACACACCACTCAAGGGGCTCAGGGGGTGTCAGTCTCAGCTCTAAGCTTCACACTCCAGTCCCACCAAGTCTTCTTTTGTGGCGTATCCTAGGCTCTGTCTCTCTCTGTGTGTAACCTTCTGTGCTCCTGAGAATGGGGCTAGATTTACAGTCCGGCCTTCAGCCTCTAGTATGAAGAAAGGTGGTGGTGGGGGGGTTAAGGGCAATGAAGCTTTAGTGGGGGAGCAGTAAAACTTCAGTTATCACGACTGGAGCCAGACAGGAGAATATACAGGTCCTGGCAGCTTGCCACCAGCACGTAGCAATGCGCCACTGTCCCTGAGGAGTGTGTATGTGTGTGTGCGTGTGTGTGTGTGTGTGTGTGTGTGTGTGTGTGTATGTGTTAAGTCTACTTCTCTGGCGACTGTGTCTCCTTTTATCCCATATGGTGCTCTGCTGAAACAAAAACTAATAAAACTCTGAGAGCAAATGTCAAGTGACTGGTGTTGGAGTGACAGAAAGGCGAAATCGAACCTGTTCCGTGGTGTTTGAGACTGTAGCATTTTGGCAACAAGGTAACAAGATCTTAGTTAGCTGGCCAAATATGCATCACAGCACAGTTGGTTCCAACTCTAACTGATGCTAAAACTGATGCTAAAATTCGCACAATGTAAAAAGCAAAGCCAGAGCTGCAGTATGCAGTACTCTGAATTGAATGCAGGATCTAACAGAAAAAGACACAATGACACGCAGCCAGCTCAGAAGTAACCAGGGGCTGTGCGCCTTAAAACATGATTACAAAGGCAAAAAATGCCCCCCACAATCCCATAGGTATTATATATATAGATTTTGTACACCTCATAGGTAAGCTACAAGGCTAATGTAGCTGTAATGGAAGCTTATAGCACCAATTAGCATCATGCAAACTGCGATGCTAATCATCAGACACTTCTCTTAAACAACACTGTTGTTGAGTTGTAAAAAAGGAATTCCATCAATTTTTCAAAATGTGTGCATAATTAAATCATTAAGCTTCAAAGTCATTCAGACTGTCTTGAGTCAAAATTGTACGCAGTAATGCTTATAAGAACCAGATGTCCAAAGTGTTTCATGTCATGCCTCATTACAGTAAATGGTTATGAACATGCTGACTGATGCCTGAGACATTGTTTTATAACAGTTTTACAAGAAGCTTTTAGCCAAAAACATGTTTTTTTAAAATGTGGCAGAGAGGTACTTGCATGGCATTGTACAGCAAAACACTACCCAAAAACATCTTTCTTTTGTCAGATTTACTATTTTACTGTTATCAACTTTACATACAAAAAGACACATGTAGGGTCACTGATGGTTGTATCTGGAAAAATTTACATTGTAAATATCACAAGCCCTGGACCACTGTAGAGAAATCAGAGTCTGCAGGTTTCTCTACAGTGCTTTGTTTCACATCAAACTACTCTGAATGACTTTCAACCAATTGAATGATGCTTATGTAGTTTATGACACTGTATGACATAATGTTTCAATGTCATACAGTGAAAACACAGCCACTTTTTCCAAACATGTACTGCTGCGCAATTAACTGCTTGTAACCACAGGCCAGTATTCCTAATATATTCCCTGTCTGTCATTTCTTTGTGTCCATTCTTTCTACATTAGTGATGTGTGGAACTCCCCCTGCTGTGGAAAATGCTTACCTAGTGGGTCGGAGGCGGTCTCACTATGACATCCACTCGGTGGTGCGTTACCAGTGTGCCGACGGCTTTTTCCAGAGACACATCCCCACGGCCCGCTGCCGGCCCAACGGAACCTGGGAGAGGCCCAAGATCATCTGCACCAAGTGTGAGTAGGCTCAGCTGATGAGTGATGTATGCTGTGGAATAAGACCTAATAAAGTTCTAGACTGTATTATGCACCTGAATTGACTCATGAAGGATTTGGGAAGTTCATTATAACCACAGTGACCTTCCTCCCAACACCCCCTTAGTGTACAAATGGGCTGAATGAGCTGGTTACCGTATCCCTTCTGCACTTTGGCCCTGCAGTTCCTCGCTCTGAAATCATGTACTTTCATTTCTTGATGTCTTTGCAACTTATTTAAGCAGCTTTTTATTTTGTATCATGCCCCCCCAGTCTGTCCCTGGTCTGTCATTTTGTTGCCATGTTTGTAGAACACTGGCAAAAATAAAAAAAAAGTGTGTTATTAATTTCAAATGATGTGTAGTCTTTTATGTTATGTGTTGTGTGCTTGAAGTTTTTAGGAATAAACATCTGATTGATAGACTAAGCAGAAAGTTCACCAGCTTCAGCTGTTTAAGCATGGATATAGTTAGACTAAGAGATTTTCCAACATGATGTTGGAAAATCAATGTGGCAAAAACAGAATATGTGACAATATGTTGCCTTAAAGCGCAATTCCACTGATGTTTCAAAACATTTTGCATAATTCTGTCTGTAAGATGTAAACAAAATCATTCAGAGTCAAGGTGAATTGCTCCATTCTAGACAGTCAGAATTGTTCACAGTGCTAGTGATTGGAACCACATTTCTGAATCATTTAATGCCTCTAAAAGCTCCCTCATGGAAAGTGGTTATAATATGCTGCCTGATGCCTGAGACATTTTGTTTTGAGATAAGATTTTGACTTGAATGTTTCTTTTAAAACACATTCATGGCAGAGAGGTACATGCAGGGCATTGTAAGGCAAAATAGTCCCTAAAGAAAACTTTGTATTACTATTTTTTTACTATTTTTTACAGCTATTTTGCTTGACAACAATGCAAATGTAGTCATTTTATTTACTGTACAGAATGAATCATGTATCTAATGAGTTTTTATATGTAATGTTGATAATGATGAACTAATGGGAAACTACTTTGCCTTCCAGCACTCTGCATATACCCCTCTGCCTTGGGTGGCTTTAAAAATACATTTTAGGCCAAAACTATCATCTCAGGTATCAGGCAGCTTCCTGTGAGGTAGCTTTTAGAGCCATTAAATGCTTCAGACATCTGGTTTCTATCACCTCCACTGTGACTTGGAGCATTTCACATTAAACCTCTCTGAATGACTGCTTATGCCTTAAAGATTGCATTAAGCAGAACTGCAGAGAGATCAAGGGAATTTCCCTTTATGCACTTTTTTTATATGCACTGTTTGTGCTGTATATGGTCATTGTCTGCTGATACGATGCTCATTAGCTTCCTCCTTCTCTCTAACCAGCACGGAGGTCCCACCGTTACCGTCGGCAACACCACAGATCCCGCCACGAGCACCGGCGACACCGGCGACACGGGGCTGGCCACAGGGGACGGGACTAGAGCCGCCGATCAACACCACCACCACCCGTGGATCCCTGCGTGACGTCACTCCCTCTGCTCCGAGCTCTGAGGTGCAGAGGAGAGCGAAAGAGGGCCTCCAAGGACAGAAATGATAGTGTCTTTTTTCTCACTCTTTTCTCTTTTTAGAGGTTCTTTCTTTTCTTTCGAGCAAAATTGTGTTTTGAATCATCCTTTCTCTCTCCCTTTACTCTTGGATTTAGTTACGATGTTGATCTCCGTCTCCCTGAGGGGGGAGAAACTGACTCTTCTGACGTTGCCACTAATATATGACTTAGTTTAATATATTCGAAGTTGACGTTAACATAATTAATCAGCTAAGGTTTGATTGCAGGGCAGGTTCTCCTGATTGACTGATCAATTATACCTGTGCGTTTGAGGCTGGTTCATGTGGCAGTCAGATCGCCCTTGGTAGGAACATTTGTATCAATTTTCGTTGTAGTGGCAGAATGTTCTCATAGGTCATGCTCTATTTGGGTTAGAGTTATGTATATCCTCTTTGTAGTGCAATAATGCTTTAACGAATGTGGCCCAAAACCCCAAAAATGAAAGAAACAGCCCCCTCTTGTTGATGCCTGCTTATATCACAATACCAATAATCCTTGTTATGGCACAATGAATAAAATTAGAGTTTTTTTTAACCTACCACTTTTTTTTTAATCCAAAACCTATGATTGCTGTCATAACAAAACTCTTATTTTACATGAGAGGTCTATGTTACACTGTACCGGTTTAACAATTATTCAAGGTGTTTAGGTGTTTTTTACTCTCTCAGAGCCATAAAAATAACCAGTGGGCATATAGAGGGAGTGTTAGATTTCAGTTGAGTGTTTAAAAAGGAAGAAAAAAAAAGTTTCAATGAGCTGAGATCCAAGATTTTCTCGTGGCAGTGACACTATTTAGCACTCTTCATTTCAATAGAAGCATTAATTAAAACACTAAAAGTCTTACTGAATGTCTAATTAGCATAGTGTGACTAATTCATACACTTGGTTGCAAATTTTGTTAATTAATATTTTTAATTCATTGACAGAGGTTTGAATTGCAGAGTGATTCTTGTCTGTTTGGCTGGCAAAGCACATGTATATTGAGTTTGTACTCATGTAGGCTATTGACACAGTAGAAGTACGGTGTGCATTCGCAAAAACAGTAACCAGAGCTAGTGATGAAAAATTCTTCCAAAAAAGTTAGGACAGTATGTGAAATCAAGTAAAAACAGAAAGCTGTAATTTAGTGATAAGGAGTAAGGGGGCAATTTAAGACTAGGAACATTGTTAAATGTTCAAGGAAACATTTTAAAAGCAAGCAATGTATTCTTACTTGGGTACAAAAGGAAAGAAAAGCCTAGTACTTAGATGGTTAGAGGCTTGTCACTTTGCCAAAAATGCATCGGCAAATAGTCCGGCTATTTATAAACAATGTTTCTCAATGAGTTTTGCAAGGATTTTAGGTATTTTTCCCTCTACGTTGTATAATATTATCAAAAGAGTCAGGGAATCCAGCAAAAGCCATATGTCAACAACATCAAGAAACACCACTGACTTCTCTGGGCTTGAGCTCATCTGAAATGGACTGATACACAGTGGAATCATGTATTGTGATCTAACAAGTCAACAGCACCAGGAAACATTCTGCACATGTTACAACAGCATAGCTGCATAATCAGAGAGTGAAAGTGATAGGCTGACCTGACAGAATTTACTGCTTTCTGTTCTTATTAGCATTTCACATACTGTCCCATTTTGGAATTGGGTTTGAACATCATCGCATCCCCATCAGAAAGGACACCACATCCCCATGAAATTTACTACTGAGAGCAAAGAACAACATTGGACAACCTAAGGAATACTATGCACTATGAACTATACTATATACTAAATGACAGCAGCAGAGGCTAAGATGCTAACAGACACCACATCTGTACTATACAGCTGATTACGACAGCCATTAGTTCAGACATGTTGTCCTGTACTTAGCAGAAAAGAACAGAAAACCTGAATTTGAAAGTCAGTCAGCACCTTCCCATTGGCTTCTATGCTAATATGTTTAGAGCCAAAGATTTTCTTTTCTCAGTACAGAGGAATTACTAATCGACCGTATACCACATAAGTATTCCTTTATAGCAGTGGATGTCATCTTTTAGCATGTTAGCCACTGTTGCAGTGACTATCTGAATGAGTATTTTAGTCTAGCAACTTCCTTACATGTTGCAAACAAATTAAATCTTGACAAGTGAAATCATCTTAAATCCAGTCAATACCTATAATGTTTCTAAATTAGAGATTGTTGTAATAATATAAGATTTTTCACCTTATTTCTCGTTATTTTTATTCTTTTATTTTTTTCATTATTATTATTATTTTATTATATTAGCAGAACATTTTGCTTGTTTTAACCCCTGAAAATCCTATGCTGATCACATACTAAGGCTGATTTTTCAGTAAGGGACTTACTGAAAAATGCAACTGGCTGAGCTATTCTTAGGTTATAGAAGTGTGTATTAAACTTTGGCCATTTAGGAAGTTAAGCATTATTACTTGAAACAAGCAAATTTATATGCATTATGTCTTGAAACATGTATAATTATTCTCCAATATAATGACAATGTCACTGCATAAAATTATGTAATGTAAGTTTAAAACTATCTAGAAATAAGTCACAAATAATCTTATAATATCCTTACAACAAATTTCAGATTTAGAAATATTAGATGTATTGACTCGATTTAAGATGTATTAATTTGCCAAGATACGGTTGCGTGCAAGACGTGTAGTCAAATATATTTTGTTGATTTTCTAATTGAAAATAAGTGAACACATCCTCTACAGAGAACACACTTCTGCACATTTTAATGCACATTAACTGTTTATTAGCTGAATTACAGAAGTAAGACATAAAGTGCAGCCTGTGCAATTTTATATATTATGTTTTGTATATTTCTAATATGTTAAACTGAGCAAATAAATAGAAATTGTGCACTAACATTGGGCAAAAAAATGAAGTTTGTCCCCCTGTAGAGAAACTTATTTTCATTTAGCAAATCAACAAACATTACTTGTCAGGGGTGTACAAACTATACAACTGTATAATTTTTTTGCGGTGCATTTCTGTCCTTGATTGTGCATTTCCCTTGGGCTTCACTTCTTCATGTTTCATGCAAACATGGCTTGAACCACCCTCTGAGCCTTCTTCCAGAACATTCCACATATCAAGCAGCCAATTAAGAAACGTTTCTTACTCGCTGTCATTGTTCAGCACTCCCTCCATATTAATGAATGTAGGCTGTACAGTGTATCAAGGGCTGCTTTAAAGCACAGACACTGAGTTTAGATTTAGACTAAAGGAACCTGCCGTCTGCAAACCGTACATGCAGATGCGGCTGAGTGTCTCTTCAGCAGGAGCTTTCTGTCTACAGTGTGATCATTAAGGCGCAGCGCTACTCTGTCGGATTTGGGGATGTTGTGGTTGAACCGCATGGCATTTTGTTGTCGTGCATATGGCTCGTACTAATTGCTTTGGTTGTGCGGATGCATGTGTCTTCTGTAGCGGCGTTCACACCCCTGCTGCTGTATCTGACACAGGGGGGATTATGGGAGCACACAATCCAGGACCTTGCTAATGTGGGGAGACAGGAGGTTTTTTAGGGATTCGATCAGTTTTGAGAGTTATGGAAAGCTTTTAATCCACAGTTTTTAAAATTAGATGTTCGATTTGAGCTAGTAAAGGTCATTAGTGTGAAATTTGATGTGAAAATCAAATAACATGTCAAATTGTACTTCATACATAATCCTTCCATCCAAGTGGTTATACATTCTGAAATGAGAACTCGACTCTGAAATCGTACTGAGTCTAAAACATTATTCCTACTGGTCATTTTGAATTTTGACGTTATGATAATACCATTAAGTAACAGTATCATAATTTTCACTTGTTTAAACTGTATTTCTGATAGAAACTGTAGATTGAAAGCTAAGCTAAGCTGAAAGAGGTTGCTTCTGAAATGCAAAAGAAAGAGTTTAAATCAGAGTGTGCTGGTGATGTTATGGTTCCCTGTGCATGTGAGAGCGAGTGTGTGTGTTGCGTGCAGACGCTTTTGTTCAAAAACCTTTTTCTAGTCAAAACAACACGTTAGCCAGTTCAGACCTACATCATGTTAGCGATAGCCTGCAGTCACTGTTCTATCTATAGCAGGGGTGGGTAGAGAAGCCTAAAACCATCCTCAAGTTATAATATATTTCATTCATTGAAATGATGACTCAGGTAGACGTAAAAGTAGTAAATGCAACTGACTAAAAAGTAGATTCCTTTTCTCACAGATATAGTTGCGCATAACTGAAACAGCAGCTTTTGAAAGCACTTAAGTCCATCTATCTGCATAAATTGAACTAGTTATTACCCACCTCTGTTCTATAATAACCTCATAACAATCTTGGTGTGGATTCATCTCTACATAAGCTGTAAACATTTGTCTTATTCTCTAATATTTGCTCATTGTCATTTGTACATGTATTCTGTGTCTTTATTTATAACATGTATTTCTAAGTACACTTGGTGTTAGACAAAAGGAGACCAACACAAGAAACCTTAAACATGTTCTAGCCTCTACCAAGCCATGCTTTTAATCGATTGATTGAGCTTTGGTATGCAAATGCTGTGGAGGTTAAAGGGGAATTCCTTGTTTCCGGATTTCTGTATAATTAAATTAAGATGTAAACAAAATACTAGAAGAATGTAGAAAGGTAAAATAGTACCCAAAGGTAATCCCAAGATGTATAAGTTCACAAATGGCTGTATTTGCATTGTAAACTTGGTGACCTCTGGTTCCTATCACCACCATTGTAAAGATATCACAGTCTGTGATCTCTACTACGCCCCATTTCACAGCAAGCCACTCGGAATGTCTTTGTTTACATCAATGCTTGACTTAAGCAAAAATTTAAAAGCAAATTGGTAGAATTCCTCTTTAACAGTCTCTTATTGTGCTTTTATTTACCCACCTTAAAAAGAAAAAGTGTCATCACAACCAGCCCAACTTTGTAAAGAAACCCCGAACCCAAAGGCCACAGTCTCATAAAGCTCCATGATGTGGGTCTTCTATGTGAACATGGCCTCGATAAAGCTTCTCAGTGATGTTCCTCAAATAAATGAAGTTATAGAAAGGTTGTGAGAGATCTTTAGTGATTGATCTATTGTAAAATGTTTTTTTTTGTACCAGACCTTTGAGTGGTCCGTCCTCTAAACTGGGGCTTCTGCAGTGTCAGCCAGTGAGAGAACGAGTTACAGCATGTGTGGCTATGGGAGGTGATGGGTTTGGTCGCTGAGATATTAATGTGTCTTCTTTTTGGTGTTCTTATGACTTCTCGTTGCTGTGTTATGTTCTTTATTAAGGTGAAAACAGACCAACAATAAAACTGATTGGATCAGTACTACCACTGTTTACGAGACCTTCTTAATGGCTTTGTATTTGTTCTGTTGTGGGTGACTGAAACTGTTAACCGGGTTTTTATTATTATTATAGAATTATTCTTTATTCTCTTTTGTTTTACAAAGAGGTTTACAAAACTGTGTATGGCAGTAAACAGCTCATAAAATAATTTTGCTGGGTTGGACAAGTTAGTTTGCAAATATGCCATTTAATCTAATGAGAAATTGTTGCACACATTTAGTTTTTGTTAAAGTACTTAAAGCTTTAATTTGGCAAAATGTTATTAATTTACAGTGATATTTTTTATGCATGTTAAAAGGCCGCATAATGAGCAAACGTTAGCATGGTTGCAAATTTGTTGTTGTTTCCAACCTCTAAAGTTTGGATTAGCAACATAGTACAACTTGGTAGAGTATATATTTTTTTTGTTTTGTTTTTTACCCAATTTTCTCCCCAATTTAGTCACTGGTAATTTAACCCGCTGGCTACAATGGTGTCAGAAAGTTTGTGAACCCTTTAAAATTCTCAGGATTTCTACAGGAATCTGACCTAAAATGTGATTAGATCTTGAACTAAGTCAACCACAAGCAGATAAAGAGAACCCAATAAACCAAATAACACAATTACATGCTGAACTTATATATTGAACAAATAACCGTTGAACAGTCCCACACATCGGCTTGGAGGAATTGTGGCCCGTTCCCCAAGTTATATTGGTAGGCTTTCCTGCATGAACGCCACACTTCAGGTCCTCCCACCAAATTTCCTTTGGATTAAGGTCTGGATTCCAAAATGCAAAGATTCTTCTGCTTTAATGCTGATACACTGCCTAGTGTGTTTAGAGTTGTTGTCATGTTACAAGACCTTCTGTTGAGCTTCAGTTGTACAATTAAAAATTCAGAGTACCATCAATTGATATCCAACTGATGGCAAACTGCCTGGTCCAATGGCAGCAAAACAGTTCCAAAATATTACTGCCACCGCTCTGCTTCACAGTTTGGATGAGGCTCTTGTGCTGGAATGCAGTGTTTAGTTTCCAACAAACATAGCAATTCTCATTTCAGCCATAAAGTTCTATTTTTGCCTTATCTACACATAACATTCTTTCAGTAGTCTTCTCACTTAACCCTGTTGTCTTTAGGGAACTTTAAGCCAGCAGCAATGTTTTCCTGGAGAGCTGTGGCTACTTCCCTGCTATCATTCCATACACACTATTCTTGTTCAGTGTTTGCCTGATGGTGGACTCATGAACACTGACATTAGCTAGTACAAGAGAGGCCTCTAGATCCTTAGAGGACACCCAGAGGTTCTTTGTCATCTCCCAGAATATTGTATGCCTTCCTCTTGAATTGATTTTTGTTGGATGGCCACTACTGAGGAGAGTTACAGTAGAATTTTCTCCATTTGTACACTCTGTCTGACAGTGGATTAGTGAAGTTTAACTCTTCACAAATTGTTTTTAACTGCCTCAACAACTATTTTTCTGAGATCCTCAGAAATCTCTTTTGACCAAGGCATGGCGTGCCTCACAAACATGTATGGTGAACCCCAGACTTTGACAGTGAAGACTCAGGTTGATGTTTTTTTTTAAATAGGACAGGGTCACCCATACTCACACTTGATTATTATACAATTATTTGAACCTCCTGACTCTAATTATCCCCTATACCAAACTGATCATTCCTGAGGTTCACATGCATTTGCCAGCTAAGACATTTAATGTTGGATTAATGTTGCACTGACCAGTCAGGAGCTTTGTCACGTACAGTGCTTGTCCACAGAGTTCGCCCAGCTGCCAACAAGCAAAGCCTCCACATTACATCTGTGGTTGTTTGGTTTATCTGCAATCATGTAATATTGTATTTTGAAGGCAGGTAAACAACATCTCTGCAAGAAGTATACAGAAGACTTATCTTGAGAGTATTATAAGGGAAAAGGCTTTACAC